TGTATGTAGTGTAGTAAATAATTTCTTTTGGTGTCACTTGCGCTCTAATAAATCATTTAGATGTAAAGCAAAAGCTTTTGATACGTATATTTTTTGAAGTGCCTTTGAGTGCCTTACTTACATAAAAATATAATACCATTATTCTTATTGATTGTATTTATGTATTTACACACTTACATATATATAGAAAATCTATAATTTCTCTAACAGCATATACAAAGTACGAGTATATAAAATTGCGCCTTTTGTATACTTCAAAGTTTATTGCACTGAATCTGATATGCCGCATCAAGGGCGTACACCAACAATATGCTTGCGGCCACCTTAGTGACTTGGTAGTGTGGTGTAGTGTTGGTTGTCGTACGGATATGGTATTTAATAGTAATAGAGTAATTGATAATAAATAGAGAGTGTTTTACGGTTAATTTTTACTTTTACTTTTATTTTATTTGATTAGAAATTTTTATACAATAAATTTTCATTTCAAGTATTTTTCAGCAGAAATTCATAATACTCAAAAAATAAAGAGAAAAAAACTAAATAAAAATATTAACACTTGAAGTTCTTAAGACTTAAACTTGTTAAGTTTTCGTCCTCTTTTTCCTGTTTCTCATTGCTTCTTTCCCAGCATTACTTGGCTTAGTTCAAGTTGTGCGATAATAAAAGTAATTTATATGTATATTTAATAACTTGTTTATATCTTTAATGAACTTTTAATTTAAAAAAAGCAATTTTCTCAATTAATACTAGCAAATTATATTATGCGACTACAAACGGCAAGTCTTATAACTATTAGTAACGGGTATTAAACATATTTATTACCGTTTTATTATTACGCGGTTAAGTGTGCATATATATATATTGAAAAGTGTGTAATTTTTTTTTTTAATTAAAAGTTCTTTAAGCTAGATCTTATCTCATTTGTTATTGTAATTATTGTTCATATTAGAGTAGCAAAATTTTTTAATTTATTCATTAAAGATTTTCTCTTCAATGCCCATATTTGATGGTAAAATTTTTATTCCAAAAAAACTTGGCATTATTAATTAGCTTTAAAGTAGTAATTTTAACATTTTTTTACTTCCATATATGAGTCTCAACGTCGCAACTTACAGCCAATACAAGTATTCAATGAATATCAAATGGTATATGGAACGATTAAAGACGGTTCTTAAAGACTAAGACTAAGTGATGCCGAAGATTCCAGACCGGAATCAAAAATATTTATTTAAAAATTTAAAATTATTTTTTTTTAAATTAAATTATAGACGCAACTTTTAATAAAATTTATTAAATTATAGAGCAACCTTTTTAAGAACTTGTAGCAATTCGCATTTATTTTATTTTTATATTTAGAGGTTAGATTTATAATATATAACAATTGTCTTCAATATTAAATAAGCATTAAGAATTTGTTGTTATATCCATATTTAATAGGAAGATTTCTAAGATAAAATATAGGTTTTATTTATAAAATTAAAAGTAAAATATTTGAAAATATTTGAAGTGCATTTGTTTAATTCCCATTTTAGATAAACTTTTTTTAACATTGTGAAAGTTACTTTTTTAAAAAAATTATATTATTACTATAGTAAAAATTTTATTTTAAAGTTTTTATACACACACGTTTTTATTATATTTATTAATTTAAAAACAACAATTTTACTAGTTCTTTTTTTTTGTAATTTCCGTATATTTTAGAACTAAATTAAAAATAATAATTATATTTGTATTTACTAATTTTCAAATATTGATTTCAAATTTTTTTAAATTCAATATTTTTTATTTTTAAAAAATTTTTTATTATTAAATTAGAAATAAAGTTTTTGAAGATATCATTGTCATCATTGTATCATTTTTTACAATGCAAACAAAAATCTAATTTGGTTATCAATTTGGAAGTAATTTTTTCTTACTTTTTGCCAGTTCTTTTACATTTAAAATAAAAATAAAAATTTTATTAAATTTTTTTTTAATTCCCATTTGTAACAATAAACATTATTATTATTATATGTTAAGTTAACTTTTTAAAGAAATTTTTCAAATTAAAAATTTAATTAATACTTTTTAGTTTAAGATTACCTTTATTACTTTTTTCCAATTTCTAAGTTAAATTTATAATAACACAACGTTTTTTGGTATATTAAACTCATATAAAAAAATAAAATTGCGCATTTAATTGAAAATAATATAGAATGTAAATTATTTTTAAATTAAAATTATATTTTTTTTTCATTTCCAAAACGTAATAAATAAATATTAATGTCAACTATTTATAATAAAATAATCTGGCAGGATTTAAATTTTACTCTTGACCCGTTCAGTAACATTGACCGATGAGACCTCAAATATTCTTCGATGCTTTTTTTGTACTAGCAATTTTTGGCACAGAATTTAAATATTTATATATATATATTTTTTTAATTTTTGAAGCAAAGAAAATTTTCTTCAATCAATTTGTACTACAGTTTTTAATAATCTTCAAAGAATTCGAACATAATTTACAGGCCTATTCTGTCGAGGTAACAAAATTTACCTAGATATTAAAATTTACCATTCAGTAAATTTTGTTACCATTTCGTATTCTGAGCTCACTGTTACCCTGTAAATTTTATTACCAGCCAAATAGGAGGCAACAAAAATATCTGCTGTTTGATTTTGTGTTGTAAGTCTGAGAAAAAATAAAAACCTAAATGGGTAGGCATATTTTAGGCCTGGAATTCATTGAAAATGAAGAAAAGAGTGCAAAAAACCGAATTTTAAGAAGTTTTCGAGACTAAAAAACAGCCCTTTAATTTGTAAGATAACGTTTTCATTCAGCTTTTTTTGTTGTCCAGGCATATTTTCCATCATTAGGCTCAGATATTATATATTATTATATATATTAATAAACACATAAATAAAACGTAATTATTTTGTGAATCGTCTTCCATTTCGATGTGAATATTTTTCTTTTTACTTCATCAACTGGCAAATATAATTTGACGAAAAAAGCAGTGCTGCCAAATTTTTTTCAAACATTGTAGGCAGTTCGCCAGAATACCAAATTCAATTTCGGGTGTTAAAGAAAAGTAACAAAATTTACTTTACTGGTAACAGTGAGAATAGGCCTGTTAGAGTTAGTATTAATTACCCACTAAGCGTATTGGATGCGACCGCTGGCAGTTAGTGAGTGACCACACAAAAGGAAAATAACATTGTTGGCTGGCGGCATTTGAAATCACAGTTATCTCAAATGTCAAATATTTCTTATTAAATTACAAATAACTAAAGGCATTTATATATTTTATGTAACCTTACTTCTGCTTTATTATATTTTTTGCATAAAAGTGGTCGAACGTCCTTAAAAATAAAAGACAACGAAATTAAAGCTACTTTCCGTTATCAATGATTCTTGGAATCATTGAATATTTATTTTTCTTCTCTACTGAATTTTAATCGCTGTCAACAAGTTTTATTTAATTCATGTTTTTTTTTATCATAATTTCAAATATTAAATACGCATCAATTAGTTTCTTATCTTTTATTAACATACAATATAATATTTTATTAATGTTTGTTTTGCCAATTCATGGAAAATTGTTAATTTATTATATACATAAATTTTATAATGCGCTTAAGTGAAATTTCGCTGAGCTCAATAGAAAATTTGAAGTATTTTGCACATAACTAAAAACACACAAATGTATGTATGTAAATAGCTAATAGCAAATAAACATTAATAAATATTTAACAGTTGTAAAATTAATGACTGTAGTTATTTACAAAAAAAAAAAAATAAAAAAAAAAAAACAAAGTAGAATTTAATATTAAAGCTTTTTTAATGCCTCATTTTTTTAAGATTTCCCATTTGTCGTAAATTACGATTGGATATTTTTATGTGCACAAGCACAAATGCCAAGTTGTGCGTATGTATGTGTATGTGTATATCTAGCATTTTTTGTTAATTTTCACTTTTTATTTCGAATGCTATTTAATATTCGTAAATCCCTTGGAGCGTGATGAGCGAAAACACTTCCGCTCCCACCCACTTGAAGATTACATGAGCAATTCATCATGTACATATGTACATAAGTATATATGTATATATGTATGTGAATAAATATGTATGTTTGCAATTAACAATAAATTTAACAGCTCTAAGTCAATTATAACAACTAATATTGAGGTTGTTTTTGAAAAAAGCAAAAAAGTTCAATGTTAAAAAAAAAGTAATTCGGTTTGTGTTCTCTGTTGAATTTAGTGGGAATTGTTCGTTATTGATTTCGCGAAACGATAATTATTTGAAAAATAACAGCTATTTCATAGCAATACAAGTACTTATTCAAAGCGCGTTTAGAAACAAAAAAAAAATATGCCACGGCCTTTGTTAGGTTAGGCCAGATGTTGTTGGAAAGGAGAGTATTGAGAAGCATTAGTATTTGTAGAAATATTGATAGGAGCAAAGAAGTGAAGTGTAAGCTGGAGATGAGGATGGATGAGAAATTTGACTAGTGTGAATAAACTATCAAACTGTCTACTAATAAAGCTCCCATTAATGAGCTCTCTAAGGCAATAAGTGTAACATCAACTAGACTATCAACTTATTTATATATGTAGTTCTTACGGTAAAGGTTAAGAATTTTCTAAAATATTTTCAGTAATAGCTTAAGTCGTTAGATGACATAAACCATTAATATTTTGTGAGCAAGTCGCAAACGTTTCGAAAACGCGCGATCTCATACACTGGCTAAACAACGCTCTGTTTCAGCAATTATTTAAAAAAAAAAAACACTAAAACACCGGCATCTTCCAACAAATCCGAAATGAAATTATCTTTTGTTGAATTCTTATGAGAGACCTTTACAGTTTAATTTTTTCTCCCAAAAGAGAGACATTCTGAATTGGTTCACAATTTTCCATTTACACTTTTAATCCAAACACTTCTACTTTTATTGTTTTCAGTATGCACTTAACCTCAAAAAATGAATGCAAAAGAAAAAGTTGAAGTTAAGACTTACCCTCGACATCAACCGATCCGCGCCGGTGCCTTCATCATCCTTAAATATAATATCGCTATTATAATTTGGTACCAAATCCTTAAATTTCGGTGAGTTTTTCTTAATCTGTCCCTCATTCAGTCCGGAAGCGCCCAACGTACGCTCGGACATATTCGGCACATGTTGTTTGAAAACCAACGGTGTAAGTTTACGATATTTACGCGGTCCACCAATACCCCGACCGGGACCACAAGCGTCGACGGTGGAGAAGAGTGTACAGCACAAAATTAGCGCACATAGACGACGCAGTATTAGTTGGCGGCGTCGGTTTTGCGCAAACGTGCCGCCAGCTATTGCAATTTCGGCATCATTGTTGGCTGTGGTTGCTTTGTTACCGTTATTATATGCTAAAGCGGCGGCATCTTGCAATGCTGTTGTTATAGTGTCAGCCAGCATTATGTGACATGCAGTATTTGGTGTGGGTGTTTCAAGTGGATCGGTGTTGTTAGTGTTATTATTATTATTGTTGTTGTTGTTGGTGGTGGTGGTTGTTCTGGTGATTGTCATTATATTTTTTTCATTAACAGCTCGAGATCGCCGCTTGCTACGCTCTTCCGGCAACTTTTTGCAAATTTTACAGCACTTTGTGGGAGTGTTGTTACTGTTGTTGGGCGCTTGAAGACGTTGCTCAATATTGGGCGTAGTTAAGGGTGTTAAAGCTGATTGATACATTTTTAATATGTATGTGTATTGTTTTTGTGTTTGTTTAATTTTGATTTATTTGTTCAATATCGTTTTAATTATTTTTCTATTTTGTATTTGATTTGTTTTTTTTTTTTTTTGTAGAATATTTTTAAAACTTGCACAAAATTTTTAATTTCACCAATTGAATTTATAATTAACTCTCAGTTGTCTTCAAGTACTCAAATAATTTAATCAACACTTTTACTTTGCAACATTTGCATTTGCAATTATTATTATTTTTATAATTATTATTTTTTTTAATTAACATTTATTTGTAATATTTTTACTTTTCAATCTTTATGTCCCGATTTAAGTTAATCCTTCTCAGACCTTAATTCATAATGCACAATATGCAAGCCGAACGTTTGCATAAATATATCTGTATTATATGTCACTGTATTGGCCACTAATTAGCTGCGATTTGTGACTTTTACACTTTCGCACACCGTTTGCACAAATGCGACTAACAGACCTTCGCAATTGTGCTATTAACTTCAACTGTGGCCGGTACTCGCACACTGATTGACAAATGACACTTCGACGACGACGAAGTTGCTGTCGCCGCCGCTGCTGCCGCTACTGCCGCTACTGCTGCTATCCAGAACTCAAGCGGCGGCGCCGTGCATACTTTCCTTCTTCGTGCTTACCGTGTTCATCCCGGTAACGTATTAGCTACGCTCCCAAGCACCACTACAAGCCAACGCGTCACAACGAGCAGCGAATGCCGGACGTCGCATAGCCTCAAAGAAATTCATTTTCATACTTAAGGACTGCGCACTTACTGATAAACTGGGGAAGCGAACGCAAGCAGGTAACGAGCACGCACACTGTTGCACCTAACGGGCAGAATGAACTCGAAGCCGAAGATCGATACTGAATGAATTCATAAATATGCATATGCATACACGTGTATGTACATATGTATGTACATATTTATATTATATGTAAGCAGTTGTCTGTGGTAGTGCTTAAGTGCGTGGCGCAGTGAAAGACGTGCATAGATTCATACATATTTACCGACTAGCTGGTGTGGGCGCAAAATATACATACTCATACGTAAACACACTCACCTAGCTACCAATACATATACAAACTCCCTAATGCGAATGCATTCCAACACATTCAGATCTACCCACACACACACACATGCGCACACAAACACAATCCGGTTGAGTCGTCTCATTGGACTTCTTTTAGCTGCGCGTTCATCCATCAACATTGTTGTTGTTGTACTCTTTCCAATTTTTCGGCCATCAGCATTGCGGCTGTTGTTATGGAGTTTGCAGAAGTATCATAAAGCATGCGCGTGAAAGAGACAGCTATAGCGTGCTTGCGGAAGAACTAATACACAAGCAAACGAGCATACGAAAAGGTAAAGGGAACCAATTGGCACACAAACGTGTACATACATACAAAAGTAAAAATTAAAATAATAATAAAATAAAAAAACCACATTCATATACACATACATAAATATACATATATTGTAATATAACTAGTGCGCACGCGCAACCGTTGTTGCTTGTGTATATAGGTATTTGACTTCTATGAGTGCGAGTATATAAAACTGCAGTGAAATTGGTCCACAGCCATGTACATACATACATACACGTATGCAGTAGACATTCAGACCGGCAGGGCTGCTTCAAGCCCAATTGGAGTTGCGTGGAGTTTTGATTTTTTCTTTCCATCTGTGTATACGGTGTGCGCCTGCGCCTGCGTCTGCGCCATGCGGCTTCTTTTACAAGCCATATTAATGAAGTTTAATGAAAATTATTTCAATGTTACATACATAATGCCAACATACGAGCAGGCAGTCGCGGCAGTCGAGACAAGTTTCCGAGTAAAGTATTTATTAATGATTTTTGTTGAAAAGTGGCGATATAATAATATTTTTTTTAGGGATGCCACATTGTTGGAGCGAGAGACTATAAAATGTGGATATTTATATAGTAAAACATGGTTTCTTGACATTAGTCCAGCAAACTTTTTCGCTTGTATTTTTGAAACACAGAATTTCTTGACTTGATTAATTTCCCCTTTACACTAATCAAAAAGTAAATGTAGTGATAAGCATATGTACACACGTAGGTATATAGGCAGTAGTGGCTGTCTATATGAGAGTCCATTGTATTACCAACGAGAAATTCGCTCAGGCCGTGCGGCTTCTTTTCCAGCCATTTGGGCTCCCTTATGGACTTTATAAGCTGGCTCACCTTAGTGCCTGCCCAGTTTAGGCTAGCCATAAAAGCGTCGAGTATATCTATGTCTGCTCAGGGCAGGACAATCATCTAACAGGTGACAAATGTTCTCTTCCTCCTCGTTATTCCTGCAACTTCTATAGCATTTTTTGAAAGTTGTTGCTAGCCCTTATTCGTGTTGTTCTATAAAGCCATGATCCGTTAAAAATCCAATTACTTTTGAGCTGTCCTCCTTTTTAGAGAACAAAAGCCATTCGACCATCTTTGCAACTTTTGTGACAGCTTGTTTATAGCTATAGGCATAGCATTGCGCTCTTTATCTGGAAGAATCTCTTGGGTTGCACCCGGCCCAGCAAGCTCGTCTACCTTGTAGTTCCATGCCTGTGAGACCAGAAACATAGAATATCTGTTAAAATTTATTTTATTCTATAATTACTTCTAAACTCTTTTTTTTACTCTTATAAGGAGTTGGAGAGCCGGGTGGTTTGTAGTACGTTCGAGCTGTGACAATTAAGTAATGAGACTGATTATATTTCCGCGATTGTGGTAACTCTGCGACCTTGAAATTCCCTTCATGATGATAGTGGCTTTTGTAGTGACCAGAGGACTGCTCTTTTCAATACGACCCGGAAACTAAATGCCAAATCTCACAATGGCACAAATGGCACGAACCCCGTCCGAAAAAATTTCGCATGAGCAAGTCGAAGGTGAAAACGATGATTATTGCCTTTTTTGATAGCAGTGAAATCGTCCACAAAGAATTTCTTCTGAGCGGAGTCACACCGCCCTCAGTGTGTCCCAGTATTTGGCCTCTAAAGGGATCGCCGTGTTGCAACACCCTGTTAATTTTTTTCCCCTGGATGAAAATGGCTGGTCAAAGGAACTCATTTCGAGTCGATTGAGGGCATCCAGGCGGCCTTGGCGATGGTACTCGTCGAAGCGTTCCAGAAGTGTTACGAAGCATGGAAAACACGCTGGAGACTACTTGAAGGGGATGGTAGAGTTGTAAAATAATTTTGAAATATACGGTTTTTATGGAATCAGTCTTAGTACTTATTTGTCACATCTCGTACACCATTCGGGAGGCCAGAGTTCGAGACCTGGTCCGACCAACAATAATTGAAATTGAATTTAATGAAAAAATAGGGAAATTGTTCCGATTGCGGTCGCCTCTAGATAAGCAATGTCAGCCCCTCAGTGAAGTTTGGAGGAAGTAACGGCTTCTCAACAATGGCTTGTGGATTAGCATCACTAGAAATGCGACAATTTTGTTTGTTAACATATCCACTCCATGATAAGAGGACTTCAAGAATCGGTGGCCACCTAGCTCTGGGCCTATACCACGAACGTGTGACGGCCCCCAAACCAAGTTGCTTTCACAAAATCTTTCACAAAATAGATGGGTACAGCTCCAATTGTTGCACGAATCACGGACGGCCTCATTCGGGTTTTCTGATCCACAGCGGTAATATCGTCTTCGGTGTGCTCTATAAGGCGTCTCTAAGGATGCGCACTAGAGTCAACGTGGCGCGAAAATGGTGCATTGTTGCTCATAGTACCGACTCTGCTGCACAGTTATGTTGACCGAATATTGGGTGCAACGGGCGATGCATCGGGTGAACCAAATCATTATTTTTGTGATGATTTCGCGCGATTTGCACGAACGTTGTTCCGGAGTAAGTCTGCTCATTAAGAAATGGTAAAATATATAAATCGAGTAACTGCTTTCCAAATTACCAACTTCGAAAAAAGTATTACCTCATTGAAAACCACCCGACTAAAAAAACACCCTTTACTTAATGGGACGTATTTGACGTAGCTCGCAAACTCAATATAAAAATGGGGTAAAGGTCTAAGACTCTGACTAGGATCATTAAAGTGTATTCTTTCCAAGTTGCTAGAACATTGGACTGATTCATCTGCAATATTCGACACAGGGGCTTAATACCCAAAAGTAGACATCGCAGTTCATGCGAAGGTGTCGGTTCAGTAAAGAGTGTTAAGTAAATCTTATGCTAATATAAGAAGAATGGTACGGGCTTCAGATGAAAGCGCCATAGCCAATCCTTCTTCATACAAGGGAAACATAAATAATCTGAAAACGAGATGCTATTAAGACGAATAATGGATTAGCGGCTGCGATGGCCGAGTGGTTAACATTACGTATTGCCATTCCGAACTTCAGAGTGCATATCCTGGTGTCGTACTAACATCCAAAAAGTTATAGAAAATTTATTTAAATTAAAAATTAAGCTAAATTTTCTAATTACGGTCACCACTCGGCAGGGAATGTAAACCCCTCCGAGTGAATTTCGAACGTAAATAAAGTTCTCATAGAAGAGATGTTCTTTGGGTGTCTCCGAAAAAAGTTATTGTATATTTTAACAACTAGTAATTATGTCTTGAATCTCTTAGTGAACGAGTGAAAAACGAAATATCTCCTGTCATGACACAAACAGTCGTCCCTTTTACGGCTTGACTCGCACATTATTATTGACAGTCATAACATGAATATCAGCATGGAAATCCAGCGCAGAATCACTCTTGCCAACAGGTTGTTTTTTGGACTGTGTAGGCAATTAAGCCTTCCCCGACGAACCAAGGGCAAACTCTACCTGTACTGATCATGCCCATTCTGCTATATGCTGCGGAGGCATGGACGATGACAAAATGTGATAAGTTGATGTTAGGAGTTTCAACGGGAACGGCGAATACCGCAGACAATCGCACAATAAGCAGTACGAGTTATCCGGTGATATTGACATAAAAATTCAATGACATTGTTCAGCGAATGAAGAGACAGTGGATATGCTGGCAAGGTCGTGTCGTCCGAATGGAAGAAAGCACTCCAGCTT